TATACTTTCAGACTTTTCTGAGTATTAGTGTGGTTCAGAAAGGTGTTTGGAAATGTATGATGGAATAATTTGTAGGTATTTATGGGACCTCTTCCCAGTGTGAGAGCAGTAGGGGAAAAAGTGCTTGTTTAAAAAGTAACGAGCTGAGGAAAGATGCTGGGGTCATGGGCTAACCTAAGGCAGGCAGTGACCTCCTTAATACCCAGCAAGAGCCAAACAGCATAGAGACAGGGTAAGAAGGGCTTTGAACGTGAAAATAAGAAAAGCTTTGAACAGGAAAATAAGCAGCTCATTTGAGGCAACAGAGGAGAGAAAGTGCCTATAGAAACAGCATGTAGGAAAGACTGTCCGTTAGGAGAATGTTGTTGTCAGAAGTTAGTAGGAAAGGTTATGTAATGACATATTCTGCTTGTCATCTAGGCAAGTTCTGTAAGGGTTTGGCATAGTCTGCATATGAAAACCTAGGGAGAAATTGGGCTCAAAAGAGTGCCCAGGGCCCAAAGGAATGGACAGGACAGAAATTGTGAGATTATAGATAACTTCATGGTTTGTTTATGAGAGAAATGAGGGAAGATGACAGGAAAAAGGGTGTTTAGGATCTCTCTTCTAATTAGGTAGGTAGTTCCATGGGAGTAGATTCTTAAAGGTTTGCAAGGAGAGATCACAGGTGCAGCTCGCTCTCTGTGAACAAAGGTAATTCTGGAGTATAGAAAAGAACAAGGAAGACGTTATAGGTGGTGCCTGAATTGCATTTGTGAATGTAAAACTTGAGAATTTGGGACAGAAAAAAGACAATGTTGAGAGACTCCTTCCAAATGTTGCAGAAGGGAAATGGGTTCCAGTGATATAGAGAATAAATAACACCATAAGTCAGTCAGAAAACTGAAAGAGAAGATTTCAGAAGGAATTCATTAGTTGATTTGGTTTTACATTTCTTGGCTTATTTCATACAACTTAATCAGCTCTCTTTCTGTGCATTTGCTTCTCGCTTAAAAATGTAGCTGTTGACTGTTGGTAATCTGTCACTTTATTTTAGCCATGTTTGTCCTTGCATTTTCTTTATTCTCTGCATTTCATGTCGCTATGCATCCTTTCTTTAATACCTTCTTTTCTGACACCAAACCCAAGTTTCTTCACTTAGCAGCTCTTCAACGTACTGCCTTTCTTTGTTTACTGCTATGTATTTTACCAGTACTTTGTTTCCTTCCTCTTTAGTGATGCCTGTGTTTCATTAAGTGGTTGGAAGGCTTCTTTCTTAGCATGTCTTGAGCATGGAGCTTCCTTCTGAAGCTTAATCCTCGCCCACGTATAGCCTGATTTCTTTTCTTTCTATTACTATTCCATATAATCAGCACAGAATTTTCCAGATGCAAATAGCCTTCTGCCTGTGTATTTGTAACAATTATGGAATACAGATGGGATATCTCCTAGCACCCCAACTCAGGATACTAAAATGAAAGCTAAATAACAGTTGCAGAACTATTCACATTTCTGCATCAAAAGCTTACTTCTCCACTACTTTAACCACATATTCTCATTTATGTCTGTTCAAAGTGAATGCAAAATCATAACGTGAAAGGACTATTTGAGACTGAAGTTAATAGAAAATCAATCATGAAACTAAAAGGAAAAGAAAAAAAAGTCAGCTGCCCTTACTATTAGCATTTAACAGAATCTGTCACTTTGTCAGTAACATAAGGGAAACATTTTAATGAAAAAAAAAATATCTGGGAGATATGCAAGTAGTATGCAAATTATAATTGAAATTACTTGTTTTGAGACTGACCCTTGAAACATAAATAAACACAGTACTGTGTTTTTGAGACCAGGTGGGATTTTATCTCTCTACCATCACAATAATACTTGGGCATCTGTTTTGCTTAAATACTGAAAAATAATTTACAGAGATTAAATACATTTCAGCACACCTACATTATTTACAGTATTTTATGCTTAGATCAACTCTAACACAAAAAGCGGCTTGCTGAAAGCAACATAGAGATCAATGGCTGAGCTTAAAAGTAAAATTCAGGAAGCTTCATTGCCAGCTTCCTTTCTACCCACTAGATACTAGTACTCCATAAATATGTGATCAAAAGATTGCTCTGGTGCATGCCTCTGCTGGGGAAGGGGTGGGGGGACCGGAAAAAAGTCTGTCTCCTTGGACGCATTTAATAACATTGTGGTGACAATTTTTTAATTGTAAGTCAAAATGAATGAGCATGTTACTTGCGATCTGTGTCACATCTGTTTTCGTTTCTGAAACATGACCTGTCAGAAGTAAAATATTTAGTGGGCAGTACAATGAAATCATTTGTTATTTGTGGGAACCTGTGAACTTGCTGTTGTGCAAGCTGGTGCTGAAATGAACATGAAGCCTGAACATGCCAGCTTCTTTTGTGTTGCCGCCTACCTCTTAGCCATGAGTTCTTCGCACTGTCTGAGTTTAGCATCTCCATTCGCTTCCTCCTTTATATGAAGCCTCTCTCTAAGTGAGAATGTCAACCTAGGATCAAAGAATAAGGGGCATGTGCTTATGAACCATTTTCTATCAGAAAATTCAATCAAGGTTCTTTTAATCAAAACATTAATCTTTTGGACACGTATCACAGAGAGAACTCAGTTGTATCTTTTTAGAGTCATTCTGTGATTGCAACCTATCAGCAAAAGGTAGTTGGGAAGTGAGGCAACATAGATATCAAGAAACGATTCTAAATATGATTAACTTGATATTTTTTACTTATCTCTCTCTGTGGTTTCAGTCCATTAGGGGGTGGTTGTGAAATAAGTTTGGGCAATGGCCAATGAGTTAAGAGAAAATCACCTTAAAAAGCACACCATAAATGCAGCAGTAAAAGATGAATCTCCTGCACCCAAAAATGAGATTGAGCTAGTTTTTATTTAAGAGGATTGCAAAACTGCAAAAGGGCAGTACTTAAAAAATGGTGCTATATTCTCTTTTGTTCAGGTGACAGAACAATTTGTTGTAGATTGCAGTGATTTTATCTTGGTCATCTTCAGCAATGAAACCATGCAGATTTCCATTTAGTTTTCAGCTTGATTTACCAATGGAATGCAAGAAAAGAAAGCACTGGTATCTGTTCTTAGTATTTTGAGGCTTTGATTAGGGTTTTAATCTGAGTCAGTTCTATTAGAAGTCTAAGATATTCATTCCAGCTCAGTGCACTACTCTGCTCTCTAGAATGTCTCCAGCCATTTTTGACTGCATTGACCTTCAAAGTTGCAAGATCCAGTTTAAAACAGGATGAGAACCCTTCTTGCATCTCCTTTTTTCCTCTTGCATCATAATTTATGTGTGGGGTTTGGGGATGTAATTTATCAATGAAAACTTCCATGATTTTTTCAAAGAAGATTTTTCCAAACCTTTTTCTTTCCAAGTTAAAAATGTGTTGGCATAATGAAATGATCACCCGTCAGTGACTTTATCCAGGATACATCTGCTTTCATCAATCCTGGACATGGTGTTAATTAGATTTCTTTGAAGCCTATCCTGCAGCAGATGTTTTAGGCTCACCCCTTACCATGTATCCAGGAGGCATCGGATGAACTTTGCTAGCACCAGCGTTGGTTGTGATGTCTTGGAGATGTTGTTTGTTGCCATTCTAAGCATTTTGCTTTTCATAGATCGATGAAACACTGTCCCCGATTTAATTGCAACATCAAGTAAATTCATCTTCATGTATTAATATTATACATTAATATTATAGAGAGTGATGTCCTAAGGCTCTTTTCAGTGTTGAATGGAAATGACATAGATTTTTCTTTTTTTTTCCCCGTCAGAATAGCAATAAACATTTGAGTTCTATAAATTGTTGATTGCAGCCAAGAAATATAATGTCTGGGGCAAAGGGGCAGCTTTTTCACTGCTGCTTAAGTGAATATTTCAAACTGCTAATATGTTCCCAGGTTTTTGAAGTGGCATGGTTTTGAACAGAATGTTTTATGCTAGGGCCCAGTGTTGAGACTTGAGCAGAGCTATACTGACTACTGCTGCTGCAGTTTCTCATGTAACAGAGATGCCAGACCCACCCAACGACTAGAATATAGAAAACAGAAAAAAAAAAACAAACAAGTGATACCACTGAACTTAACCAAATTAAAGAAACGTAAATAAGCAGACACTAATCAAATATTTACTCTTTCCATTCCTCAGCTTCCACATACATGGACATGGAACACCTTCCCTGCAAGGACAGGCTGGGGTGGCTGGGGCTGCTTAGCTTGGAGAAGAGAAGGCTTCAGGAGACCAGGAAGGAGGGCTATATAAAAGAAGGGGACAGACTCTTTAGCAGGGTCTGTTGTGATAGAACAAGAAGAAATGGTATCAGTAATTTCAAACTAAAAGAGGGGAGATGTAGATTGGAAAAAAGGGAAAAGTTTTTACAGTAAGGGTGGTGAGGCTCTGGCAAAGGTTGTCCAGAGAGGTGGTGGGTGTCCCGTCCCTGCAGACACTCAAGGTCAGGCTTTGAGGATCCCTTCCAACTCTGTCCATGATTCTGTGATGCTCACTGTGGCTTGCAAGGTGTTTGTTATGAGAAGGTTGTGCTGGGCCTGCCTTTTCCTGCAGAGGCCGAAATGCAGACTTTTCCTGGGCAGCGAGAGGCAGCTGCCAGCTGAGAGGAGGAGGCGGCAGTGCTTGTGGTGGGAATTGCCGCGTCCCTCAGCAGCTCTGGAACAGAAAGGTGTGGGAAATACTAATTTTACCTGCAAAATAACGGGCAGTCGACCTGTGAGCGTACATAATGATTTGTTATAAATGTAGTTGATGTACAAAAGATGGGTATTGTAGCTGCTGTGACTCTCTGGGAGAAAGCAGGAGGGGAAGGAGAGCTGCAGCCCTCCTCAGTCGGTGTGAGGTGAGCTGTGCACAGGTGACAGTGGTTTGTTATTTATCACAGGTGTGTTTACTGTTCTAATTGCTTTCATGTTTTTCTGTTTGATTATTGGGCCTTCCCAGTTTTTGTGTGAATGTATGTTCATACATAGGCAGCTATGAGTGACAGTGAAGGAACATTACCCAAATATTTTTTGATCTCAACTCTTCACTAAAGGAACAGCACCAGTATAATATGGTTAAGCAGGAGGAGCTGAATAACAAAGTTTTGAAAACGTAAGTTCAACAGAAGATCTGAAAACAGAGAACATATACAGAAACTATTACTTCCAACCTTATCTCCTTAATGTCCAGACAGATTAGGTACAACTGCTTGAACACAAAACAGCAAAAGAAAATATTTTGTCCGATAAAAATGAAACTCAGAAAAATTGCCTAAATTCACCATGGAAATACTTTATTATGGTCAGTTATTGAGATATAAAAGATAATAAAATCTGGTCCATCTGATTTGTAAAAAAGCCTTTTGCTTCTTTTCCAGAAGAAGCAGTTCTAAACTATCTTCTTCAAGAGCATACAAGGCTTTCCTTTTGCTTCAGAGAAAAGGTAAGAAACCAGTTGTCTTACTTCTGCCTAATTTTTATTTCTTTTCTAATGTAAACCTGTTCTCTCCTACTGGAAGCCTGGTATTTAGATTTAAAAAACTGAATAGTGTGAGTTCTTATATCTATATTTAATGCGCTCATAATTTCAGTACAACAAAATCTGGAGAGATTTCTGTAACGTGTAATGCTGGTTCTCTATTGAGGAATTAAAAAAGTTTGTTTGGGGCACTATTGGGAATGGTTGATATATGCATATTTCAGTTTCATTGCAGGAGTGTAGAGATCTGTTTGGTGATATGGTCATAAACTTTGTGTTCTCTGGTACTGCACCCTCAGACATCAGAGGGTGCTGCTAACAGAAGTGTAAAGAACATGAAGTATTGGCAGCTAGACTCTCTGTTTTACTGCTACAGTGAAGATTTAGTCTTACCATGTTTGTTAAGGCTGTGTTGTGATAAATTTACATGGTTAGGAATAGAGGATAGTCTTCTTCCAGAGGAGGGATGATTAGCATTAGGCAAGATGCTGCTATTTGAATTTTTACTATGTAAAAACAAGGAAATGTTAAATAGGTGACGTTAAGGTTATTTCACCATTTTCTGCCTTTTTTCATAAAGTACCTGAGGAAAAAAAAGAGGCTTTTATGTCTAGAGAAGGCAGTGATATTTTCAATAATGCCTCAAAAGCACCTCTTTCTGGTGCAGCATTTCTTGTTTATACTTTGTTTGCTGAAAGAGAACAGGAAAAAAAGAAAGAGTTTGTCTTCCGGAGAAAGGGAAGAGACAGCAATAAGCACCATTCTATTTAAACTTAACAATGTCACAAAATTGCCAGTCTTAACATATTGCTGTGGTGTTCTGCTACTACAGACATTTCTTCTTTTCTTTCATGATAACGAAAATGAAAAACTGCTTCACCTTGAAAGCTTTTCATCTCTAGTGGGATTTCAACCATAGTGAATTGGTCCAGAACACACCAAACTTTGAGATGAATAAAGGGCTTGACAGCTGTACAGTGATAAGCTGTAGTGCCCTATATTCCCGCATTCCTAATGGCCTTATGTTGTGTGAGTAGGCTATACCAAGAGTGTGATTATTGCTACATTTGTAATGTGGTCCACCCTGAATCGCAAATGGATTACAAGGAAAAACATATTAGTTTGAACGACTTAAAAATGCAATTTAAAATATAGGTCTAGCACCAGTCAACTCGCTGGCCTACTTGAACCATTCCAAATTAGCTCAAGAAATTATTTTTTAATGGCTCGCTCTGTCTTGGAAGAAGGGAAAAATTGGTAAAATATACTTTCCTTCCCATCAACTGTAACAGCCCCTACAGCAGAAAATGAAACTTTAAAGAAATGTAGTTTGCTGTATAATTTATTAGCTTACAGATTGCCTACAGTATGTACTAAATCTTCTACAGAATGTATTTATTAGTGATACAAATAGTTTTTTGAATTTTTAAGTGCTAGCATTTCTTTTGATTTGTTAAAATGTAAGATTTGAAAGCTTATCTTATTGGTGTTAGATACAATGTTAGAATTGCAAAGTCAAGCAGAAATCATGAAACCACAATAGTAAAATGCTCTTTGTATACAATTATTGTGAACTAGTCACTGTGAAATGTACAGTTACTTCTAAAGCTTCTTGGGAAAAAATCTGCAGATTTATTTTAAAGTAGTAGTGATATGCTTTTTCCATTCACTTCATTCTTGAAATAGTGTGATTTCTACAGATATGATACTATTTCGACTGATACTAAGTAAATGAATAAACAAAAATAAACCCAGGCAGGCATTCAGAATGATCTGTTTCATTCATGTATTTCAAACAGAAAAAAATGCGATCAGCAGTCCAATAATAGCATTAGATCAATCACAGAACTCAGATATAAGCAGTTAATTTCTGTAAGGGTGTAGGCTCCTCAGTGATCAACTTAGTGTTATACTTGTCTACCACAAATGAATGAACAAAAGCCCTTTCCCTGACTGTCTAAAGGAAACTGGTAAGGAGTACCTGATCTTTTTCTATTAGAGATGACAAGACTCCCACTTGCAGGAGTAGTTTTTAAGCTCTGTATGAACTTGTAAATTTTATCCATTTTGAGAAGAAGAAAAAAACCTATTTTATTTGTTTTGTAAAAAACACTAATGGTAATTACTTCGGGAACCATCAGTCACTTGCTAATGGCGTAGGAAAGTGTACAACTACTTAGCATCTACTAGTAAAATAAAATTCACAATGAAAGAAGTTGAAATGCTATAGGGAGGTACTATTGAAAACTAATTAAGAGCTGTTGAAGAAGTTCCTGTGACAGTTTGAAAAGCAGTTTTGTAAAAAAAACAGTTGTGTCTGTCTGAATTATCTGCAGAGGGAGAATTGAAAGCAATGACAGTAGTTTTGCAACCACTTCTGCTGTTAAGTTGAACCTAGAAGTTTTATTTTGGATATCAGGATGAAATCCCAGGATTGTGCATTCAGCCATGAATTCTTATCACAGCAGATTGGTACAAAGAAGTTCTTTAAGATGTTTGTTTCTTTAATTTTCTAATGAGACAATAATTCTCTCTCCTTTCTGGTCTACAATTATAATGTAATGTCATGCAAATGGCTGATGTCCACTGTGTTTAGAACTTCAAAACTTCATTATGTTTATTTTTCAGTCCTCCCAATTTTGGAATTCAATGTAAATCTCATTTTAAATGTCATCTGACTTTATGCTAGTGAGACCATGGAAAGAAATGAAAAAGAAAAGAAGCTCTGGATATTGTAGTAGACTTCATATTGTGAAGTCCACATTTATTCTGTCTGCAGTGTATGGTGCTTGTTATTACTATGTTTCAAATGAAATATTTACCTCCTGTATCAGAGAGAGCCTCTGAAAGACCGTTCTCTTCTTCGTAGTATTGGTAAATGTCTGACTTATGCTGTTTTGCCAATGGTAGTGAGAGTTTCAGGAGAGAATCGTTTTTGGAGAGATGTCACTTCATGTTTTAAAGTAGGTCAACCACCAAAGAATTCTGTTCTAAAAAAAAGTACAGCTTTCTGATTCAGAGCCATCCCTTTTCCTAATATGTACTTACATGTGATGAAAAGATGTTCAGATACTCTGATCTGAAGATGTATTCATGTTCAGTTCTATTTCTTCCATGTATTCACATTACACAGCCACAAAATTATTGGATTGTAGCAGTGCAAGGAATGAGGGATTGCTTTTAGAAGAGAATTACATCATCTACTATGATAGATCTATGTTGCAAAATGTCTGGAGAAGAGTATGGCTTTGAGGTGGAGATGATTACTGGAGGTTAATTACTGTTAAGGGATAGACATTGGGGTTTGCCATTATGTACCTGAGATTGAATGCTGAGCCAAGCACAGATGTTTGACATATTTAGCTGAAGGAAGGACAGGATGTAGAAAATCTTTCCAATTACTCAGGCCCCCAAAGTCTAGTGAGTTTCAAGGTGACTTTTGTTCTAAATATCTGAAAAGTCATCTTTAACCTACAAGAAAAGATAGGTATGCTATGGAGTCTCCAAAATGCAACATAGTGCATGTTAAAATAGAGATATTTTCTGGAAAACTTTGTGTTTTGCTCTGCAGTCTGTGTTAAAAGTGATTCAAAATTCCTCACACAGGGGTGGTAGAAGCCACTGGGGGAATGCTGGGATGATGATGCCACTGGAGGCCGTGGCTTCTCAGCTTGCTTAGTACCTGGATTAAAATCAGCCCTCAGATAATATAAGCGTGTTACCTAACGTGATTCAGAATAAGAAATCTTCATCTTGTTGTCTTTCTTGTATTATTGAAAGCACGATTCACCACTCTAATGGGGGACCTCACCTAAATTAAACTGGAATTGCTAATGTAGTACACGTTGTTAAGAAAACAAAATTACTGTGTGCTGATGACATTCTTATTGTGTTATGGATAATTTCTGTATTATCAGATGTTGTACTGTATTAGCAAGAACTGAACCATCCCACTGATGTTATGTTAAGCTTATTCAAGTATTAGAACTTTTCCAGCATATTAGAAAAAAAATTCAGTGCTGCTTTTCAGTAGGGACACTGTTGAAAGGACAAACTGATATTGTTGAAAGGACAAACAGAGGACTGGTATGTCTATTGTGACTTTTATGTAAGTGGGAGTTTGGAATGTCAGCTTCCCCTTTTTCCAGTATAGGACTGTAATAAATAACAGCACTTTAGCTGTGGAGTTTTACATTTAAATCTCTTAAAATTCTGTAGAATTTGAATCTTTGTGTCGTCCAGCTCTTTCATCAAAAATCCTAACAATATGTCATTTGCATGTCTTAGTTTTTGTTTGTTTGTTTTGTCAATGAAAAAGAAAGAATTTAAGTTTTTTAATTGGAGAATTTTCTGTAATTTGGAACTGCTGCTGATACAGCAGTGGTTAAAAGAAGCTGAAGTGAGTACTGTATAAAACTGCATGAAATGTGAAGAAGTTGGCCATAGTGGTAAAAACAAGATTTTGAAAAAAAAACAAAAAACAAACAAACAAAAAAGTCACAAGCAAACAGATGAAGAAGAAAGGTAAAACTGTGACTTAAGAAGAGTGCATGTTTGCATGATAGGAAGTTTAAAAATAAATAAAGCACTGCAATCTCGGAAATAAATGCCATCTTTATATTAATAAATGCTATCTTTATATTAAAAATATAAAGAACATTACCTCAGTTGAATAATCTTCCAGATAAGTGTTTTCTCAATTATCGTAGCACTTGGTATTTTGTGATCTTCTTCTGATATGGTGTGTTTTTGTTTGGCTGAGATGCTGCTGATTATAAAGTATCAACAGTGACTTCTCCAGAGAAGCACCTTTCAGGGGAAGCATAATGCTGGTCTTTGAGACAGGAAGTTGATGCATTTCTTTTTTAACTAAATATGGGTAACTGTGTAAACCCAAATTCACTAGTCCTATTTAATAGCTTTGGTATGGGAACTTGGCTTTGCATTCAGTCATGTTCATGTGG